ATGTACGATCGTAAAACCATGGAATATGTGACTTTAAGCAAGTTTCTCATAACTCTTATATTTTGCATATTTTAACATGTACGATCGTAAAACCATCGAATTTGTGATTTTCAGTAGGTTTCTCAAAACTCTTATATTTTGCATATTTTAACATGTGCGATCGTAAAACCATCAAATTTGTGATTTTCAATAAGTTTCTCAAAACTATTATATTTTGCATATTTTAACATGTACGATCGTAAAACCATCGAATTTCCGATTTTCAGTAAGTTTCTCAAAACTCTTATATTTTACACATTTTAACATGTACGATCGTAAAACCACCGAATTTGTGATTTTCAACAAGTTTCTCAAAACTATTATATTTTGCATATTTTAACATGTGCGATCGTAAAACCATCGAATTTGTGATTTTCAGTAAGATTCTCAAAACTCTTATATTTTGCATATTTTAACATGTACGATCGTGAAACCATCGAATTTGTGATTTTCAATAAGTTTCTCAAAACTCTTATATTTTGCATATTTTAACATGTGCGATCGTAAAACCATCGAATTTGTGATTTTCAATAAGTTTCTCAAAACTCTTATATTTTGCATATTTTAAAACATGTGCGATCGTAAAACCATCGAATTTGTGATTTTCAATAAGTTTCTCAAAACTCTAATATTTTGCATATTTTAACATGTGCGATCGTAAAAACCATCGAATTTGTGATTTTCAATAAGTTTCTCAAAACTCTAATATTTTGCATATTTTAACATGTGCGATCGTAAAACCATCGAATTTGTGATTTTCAGTAAGTTTCTCAAAACTTTTACCTTTTACACATTTTAACATGTACGATCGTGAAACCATCGAATTTGTGATTTTCAATAAGTTTCTCAAAACTCTAATATTTTGCATATTTTAACATGTGCGATCGTAAAACCATCGAATTTGTGACTTTAAGCAAATTTCTCAAAACTCTTATATTTTGCACATTTTAACATGTACGCTCGCAAAACCATCGAATTTGTGACTTTAAGTAAATTGTTCAAAACTCTTATATTTTGCACATTTTAACATGTACGCTCGCAAAACCATCGAATTTGTGACTTTAAGCAAATTGCTCAAAACTCTAATATTTTGCATATTTTAACATGTACAATCGTAAAACCATCGAATTTGTGATTTTCAGTAATAAGTTTCTCAAAACTCTAACATTTTACACATTTTAACATATACGATCGCAAAACCATCGAATTTGTGATTTTCAATAAGTTTTTAAAAACTCTAATATATTACAGATTTTAACATGTACGATCGTAAAACCATCGAATTTGTGATTTTCAATAAGTTTCTCAAAACTCTAATATTTTGCATATTTTAACATGTGCGATCGTAAAACCATTGAATTTGTGATTTTCAGTAAGTTTCT